AACCAGGACTAAACCAGGTAAACTAAACCAGGACTAAACCAGGACTAAACCAGGTCTAAACCAACTAAACCAAAACCAGGTAAACCAGAACTAAAAGGAGGTCTAAACCAGGACTAAACCAGGATAAACCAGGTCTAAACCAGGAAACCAGGACTAAACCAGGACTAAACCCAGGACTAAACTAACCACGGAAACCAGGACTAAACCAGGACTAAACCAGGTCTAACCAGGTCTAAACCAGGTCTAAACCAGGTCCCTAAACCAGGTCTAAACCAGGAAACTAAACCAGGACTAAACCAGGACTAAACATAAACCAGGTCTAAACCAGGACTAAACCAGGACTAAACCAGGTAAACTAGGAAACTAAACCAGGTCTAAACCAGGTCTAAACCAGGACTAAACCAGGACTAAACCAGGACTAAACCAGGACTAAACCAGGACTAAACCAGGTCCATGTTCATATATTAGTCTCTGTGTTTCTTTGTTCTTTCTCTGTTTGAGTTCGGTTCCACAAACTCGTCGTATTAAACTGGATCAAATACTTTTGGACTTTTGGTAAATATCTTTAAAGATTCTGTACGTCCTGAACCTTCATCCTCCTCCTCCTCCTCCTCCTCCTCTTCTTCTTCATCACTGGAGGATTCACTCTGAGCAGAACTTTCCTCATCTGTGAAAAACACAACAAGTTTTAAATGAGGCCACAGTTTTGGACAGTTTAAAGTTTTTTTTTTTTTCTGTTTCTAGAACTTTGGCGTGTGTGGATCAAACTGTTTGTGTAATAAATGTGTGAGTGTGTTTTAGGAAGGCCAAAAAAAAAAAAAAAAAGAATAAACAAAAGACATAAGAGAGCTGAAAATATGTGTCTTCAACCCCGTTTTATCAGTTGTTTTTTTGTATGTGTGCTGGGTATTCATTCCCTCAAGACGACAAAAATTATAAATAAAAAAAATTAATAAATAAAAAATAAATAAAAATAAAAAGAGGCCAGGTTCTGTGTCCTGGCCAGAACCTGGCTCAGGCATCTGTTCCGGATGCCTCCTGGACGTCTCCCTCGGGAGGTGTTCTGGGCATGTCCCACTGGGAGGAGGCCCCGGGGAAGACCCAGGACACACTGGAGGGACTATGTCTCTGGACTGGCCTGGGAACACCTCAGGTCCCACTGGAGGAGCTGGAGGAAGTGTGTGTGGAAAGGGAAGTCTGGGAGTCCCTGCTTAGACTGCTGCCTCCGCGACCCGGCCCCGGATAAACGCAAGAAAATGGAATGGAATGGAAAAAGAGGCCATTTCCACCAGTAAATAAAAAAATAAAAGCCTCACAGAAAGTCCTCAGAAGTATGACTTTTAAACTCGTGATTATGATTTTTTTTATTTTTAACTCGTTATTATGCACAAAAAATTCATAATTATGACTTTAAAATTCAAACTTATGACTTTTAAACTCGTAATTATGACTTTTAAAACTTGTAATTATGACTTTTAAACTTGTGATTATGACTTTAAACTTGTAATTATGACTTTAAACTTGTAATTATGACTTTAAACTTGTAATTATGACTTTAAAATTATGACTTGTAATTATGACTTTAAACTGTATTATGACTTTAAACTCGTAATTACTGTAATTATGACTTTTAAACTTGAATTAATGACTTTAAAATCCTTTTAAACTCGTAATTATGACTTTTTAAACTCGTAATTATATATGACTTTTAAACTTTAAATCGTACTTTAAACTCGTAATTATGACTTTAAACTCGTATTTGACTTTAAACTACTTTAAACTTGTATTTTGTAATTATGACTAAACTAAACTTGTGACTTTAAACTTCTTGCTTTTAAACTTGTAATTATGACTTAAACTCGTGATTATGACTTTTAAACGTGGCCCCCTCCTGGAGAGCTGTGGTACTACAAAAACAAAACCATACCTCGCTCTTCTTCACCGCTGGACTTTGCCTCCTCTTCCTCCTCTTCCTCCTCCCTCTCTCCTCCAGTCTCCTTCTTCTCCTCCTTCTTCTCTGACTCTAACTCTTTGGTCCCTCTGAACGCAGGAAGTGACATCACCGGCGCGCTCCTCTTTTTCCGTTTGCTCCTCCTCTCCTTCCTCCTCTCCTCCTCCTCCTCCTCCTCGTCCTCATCGCTCGATCCTCCCTCCAGAATGGACGCCAGGATCTCCTCCGGCGTCGTGCCTTTTTTGGGCGAAGCGCCGACGTCGTCCACGCTGAGGATTCTGGGAGTCGGAGTCGAACCCTCGGGGGCGAATTTCTGCGCCAGCGTCTGGAGGTCGGACAGCGACATCTCCAACTGAACCACGTTGGAAAACAAGGACTCGTAATCGGGATCGGACTCAGAATCGGAATCGTCTTCCTCGTATCCTTGGTCTGTCTCCTCGTCTCCTTCGTTCGTCTCCTCTGTCAATTCCATGCCTCCTTGGTTTATTTCCTTTCTCATTTCCTTGCTTCCCTGATTCATCTCCTCTTTCCTTTCTGTGCCTCCTTGGTTCCTCTCCTCTGTCCTTTCCTTGCGTCCTTCTTTATCCTCTTGTCCTCGTCCCTTCACTCTCTCCTTCTCTTCCGTTTTGTCGTCTCGCAGTTGCACTTTTTTGGCGTCGTCCGTCTTGTCGGACTTCGTGACTTTCTGGACCTTCTTCCTCTCCTTCCCAGAATCCTCCTCTTCCTCCTCTTCCTCCTCGTCGTCGTCGTCGTCCGTCGAGTCGTATTTGGAGCGGCGTCCGTTTTGTTTCTTGCGCTTTTTCTCGGGGGCCGTTTTGTTTCGGTTGGTTTGGGGTTTTCTGGAGGAGAAGAGTTCGTCTGTGTCGGCCGAGTCGCCGTCGTCGTCTGAAACCAGAGGGAAACTTTAGTCCTGGTTCAGTTCAGTTTTAGTCCAGTTTTGGACCAGTTCTAGCCCAGTTTTAATCTAGTTTTAGACCAGTTTTAATTTATTTTTAGTCCTGATTTAAACCAGTTTTAGTCCAGTTTTAGACCAGTTCTAATCGAGTTTTAGACCAGGTTTAGACCAGTTCTAATCCAGTTTTAGTCCAGATATAGACCAGTTTTAGACCAATACCAGTCCAGTTGAAGTCCAGATTTAGACCAGTTTTAGTCCAGATTTAGACCAGTTCTAATCAAGTTTTAGACCAGGTTTAGACCAGTTCTAATCCAGTTTTAGACCAGGTTTAGACCAGTACTAGTCCAGTTTAAGTCCAGATTTAGACCAGTTTTAGACCAAGTTTAGACCAGTACTAGTCCAGTTTTAGTCCAGATTTAGACCAGTTTTAGTCCAGTTTAAGTCCAGATTTAGACCAAGTTTAGACCAGTACTAGTCCAGTTTTAGTCCAGATTTAGACCAGTTCTAATCCAGTTTTAGTCCAGATTTAGACCAGTACTAGTCCAGTTTAAGTCCAGATTTAAACCAGTTTTAGACCAAGTTTAGACCAGTACTAGTCCAGTTTTAGTCCAGATTTAGACCAGTTTTAGACCAGTTTTAGACCTAGTTTAGACCAGTTCTAATCCAATTTTAGTCCAGATTTAGACGAGTTTTAGACCAGTTTTAGACCAAGTTTAGACCAGTACTAGTCCAGTTTTAGTCCAGGTTTAGACGAGTACTAGTTGAGTTTTAGTCCCGGTTCAGTCCTGGTTCAGTCTTGGTTTAGTCCCGGTTCAGTCTCGGTTTAGTCCCGGTTTAGTCCCGGTTCAGTCCCGGTTTAGTCCCGGTTTAGTCCCGGTTTAGTCCAGGTTCAGTCCCGGTTCAGTACCGTTCTTCCTGTGGGTGTAGTCTGATGAAACCACCTCCAGCGTGTCGTCCTCCGGCCCCAGTGGATTGTGGGAGCCGTTTTCGATCCGCCGCAGCTCTTCTTCTGATTCGCTGTCGAGCGGCGGGCGGAGCGCTCTGATTGGACGACCAGAGCCATTACAGAAGCCAATCAGATCTGAGGACGGTCTAGAACAGGAAAAAAATCCAGATTTAAAACCTGTGTTCCTTCGTTTTCCTTCCCTTCCTCATTTCTCACCTGTTTTCCTTCCTCTTCTTCTTCGGGGTGAAAGGGGGAAACTCTCCTCTCCGTTTGCGGCTCATGTCGTCGTCTCCGCCCTCGATCGCCCAGGTGAGCTGTGACACGGGCGTGGGCGTGTCCTCGGGGCCGGGGGGCGGGGCCAGCGCGCGCAGGTTGTGCCCGTATTTGGACGGGTCGTACTTGAGCGTCCTCACTCTGTCGCCGCGACGACACTTGAGCTGCAGCACGGGAAGTACGCGGCCGAACTTCCCCACCACCCAGTCCTGAAACACGATTAAACGATAAAAACATTAAAAACGATAAAACACGTACGCGGCCGAACTTCCCCACCACCCAGTCCTGACACACGATTAAACAATAAAAACATTAAAAACGATAAAACACGTACGCGGCCGAACTTCCCCACCACCCAGTCCTGACACACGATTAAACGATAAAAACATTAAAAACGATAAAACACGTACGCGGCCGAACTTCCCCACCACCCAGTCCTGAAACACGATTAAACAATAAAAACATTAAAAACGATAAAACACGTACGCGGCCGAACTTCCCCACCACCCAGTCCTGAAACACGATTAAACGATAAAAACATTAAAAACGATAAAACACGTACGCGGCCGAACTTCCCCACCACCCAGTCCTGACACACGATTAAACGATAAAAACATTAAAAACGATAAAACACGTACGCGGCCGAACTTCCCCACCACCCAGTCCTGACACACGATTAAACGATAAAAACATTAAAAACGATAAAACACGTACGCGGCCGAACTTCCCCACCACCCAGTCCTGACACACGATTAAACGATAAAAACATTAAAAACGATAAAACACGTACGCGGCCGAACTTCCCCACCACCCAGTCCTGACACACGATTAAACAATAAAAACATTAAAAACGATAAAACACGTACACGGCCGAACTTCCCCACCACCCAGTCCTGAAACACGATTAAACGATAAAAACATTAAAAACGATAAAACACGTACACGGCCGAACTTCCCCATGACCCAGTCCTGACACACGATTAAACGATAAAAACATTAAAAACGATAAAACACGTACGCGGCCGAACTTCCCCACCACCCAGTCCTGACACACGATTAAACAATAAAAACATTAAAAAACGATAAAACACGTACGCGGCCGAACTTCCCCACCACCCAGTCCTGACACACGATTAAACAATAAAAACATTAAAAACGATAAAACACGTACGCGGCCGAACTTCCCCACCACCCAGTCCTGACACACGATTAAACGATAAAAACATTAAAAACGGTAAAACTGTAAAATGGTGATGATGGTAAAACAAACAAACAAACAAAAAAACTGTACAAATCCTGAAACACGGAAAAACGATAAAAACGGTACAACAGTAGACCAGTAAAAAACATTACAAACGGTAAAATAGTAAAACGCTAAAAACAGTAAAACAATAAAATCATAATGTGGTAAAAACAGTAAAATGTAAAATGATAAAACAGTAAAACGTAAAACTGTAAAGACGGAAAAAGGGTTAACGCGGTAAAACACTAAAACAGTAAAATGATAAAGACGGTAAAACAGTAGAAACGTAAAGACGGGAAAATGGTAAAACAGTAAAAGTGATAAACTGGTAAAATGGTAAAAGCAGTAAAATGATAAAAAGGTAAAACGGTAAACGAGAAAAACAGTAAAACAATAAAAACAGTAGAATGGTAAAACAGGAAAACACTGAAACCAGTAAAACCGTAAAAACAGTAAAAGCGGTAAAATGATAAAGACGGTAAAAGAGTAAAAACATAAAGACGGGAAAAGGGTAAATGCGGTAAAACACTAAAACAGTAAAATGATAAAACGGTAAAAACGGTAAAACAATAAAAACAGTAGAATGGTAAAACAGGAAAACACTGAGACCAATAAAACCGAAAAAACGTAAAAACAGTAAAACCGTAAAATGGTAGAACGGTAAAGACGGAAAAATGATAAAACGGTAAAGGCGGTAAAACGTTAAAATATGAAATAAAAACCCAGGATCATGTAGAACGGGTCAATATAAATATTTAAAGCTCAGAGGAGTTACAGACGGACCACACTTTTCACACACAAACTGAACTGGAGCCAGAGCTGATGGAGCCGAACCGTGGCCGCGCTCACTTCCCGTCTGAGTTATATATATATATATTTTTTTACGGTCGGACCTTGTGTCCCGGGATCTCGGTGCCGGGGACCGCGGACTTCATGGTGAAGTTGGACACTCCGGCGTCTTTCAGAGACTCCAGAAGCTTCTGCTGAGACGAGGGTCCGGGGGGAGTCTGGGCGAGCTGAGCCCAGTCCTCACGCTCCTGATGCAAACTGCACAAACACACAAAAAATACACAACGTTCAGCGCACAACAACACTGCTACAAAACACTGTTTAAGTAACGTGTTGTAAAAGTAAAGGAAAAAAGTTTTAATATTTGACTGTGTACAAATGTCAATAACGCGCGTCACGATGTTTTTTTAACCTGGATTGAAGTGGTGGTTTTTTCGTTTTTCTTCATGCAAATTCGCTAAAATCACGGCGACATCAGCAGCGGTGAAACGGCGGAGGTGCGCCCGTGTAGACCGTCAGGTGACCGCGGACGAAAGGACCGACGCAGAACTCCACGCTCCACGAGACGAAGAACAGCCGACTCTCCGATCAAGCTTTCCACGCTTACAAGTTCTAGTCCAAGATAGTCCTGGTTTAGTCCTGGTTTACTCCTGGTTTAGTTCTGGTTTACTCCTGGTTTAGTTCTGGTTTACTCCTGGTTTAGTTCTGGTTTAGTTCTGGTTTAGTTCTGGTTTAGTTCTGGTTTAGACCTGGTTCAGTCAATTAACAATTCTCTCGAACCACTCTCAAAAGCATGTGTGTGATCAGACGTGGAGTCGACCATATCAAAGCTTGTACGAACTTGGTGCACTTCAAAAAACAATATAAAAATCAAATCTTACAGAAACACCTAGAAGACTAGATCCACGGTCCAAACCGCGACTATTAACTAAACATATGCTTTTCTCTTTAACTTTTTTACTTTTTATCTTGGTATGAACATAAACAGTACATTTCGTGCCTCTTTATCATTAATATTAGGTTGTCCGACTAGAAACAATGAAAATCCTTACATTTTTAATTTTTTTTTATTCTCTACGATCATAAATGATAAACGTTTGTGCCTTCTTCATTACTATTTGTACGACCATAAACGAAAACAAAAAAAAATCCTTAAATCATTCATTCTCATTACTGTTTATTTTGTACAACCATAAACAATAAACTTTGTGCCTACGATAACATTATTATTAGTTTGTACGACCGTAAACGAAAATATGTTTCTGCATGTGTGTGTTATACATTTATAACAACATTTATACTGAGCATATCTATGATGTGTATAATAAATATTTTCTCACCGCTGCAGGAAACTCTCTTTGGCCGTCTCGATCTGCAGAGTCCCGCCTTTCCACTGGGACTTGTTCAAAACGCTCAGACCTGGAAAAACAAGCGAATAATAATAAAAATGTCAAACTGGAGTGTAAAAGGATCCATATCCCTCTGTTCTCTGTTGTGTTTTGTTTCATTCACACACGTTTAACGCTGCAGATTTAGACTCAGTTCTTCTCTCAAACTGAAAACGGAAAACAACATAAATGTGTTTTACTCACATTTCTTGAGCTCCGGGTCAGAAATGGTGATGTTGATGTAGCCAAAGGTTTTGTACGGAACTCCTGAGAATCACAGAACAAATCAGTGAATTTTGTTCTCAATCATATTCTCACACTTTTCAATTTTACATGATTATATTTTTTGCTGTAGCACTTTTATTTATTTATTATTATTATTTTATTATTTATCAATTATTATTTATTTTATTATTGCTGCAGCAGTGTTTTTTTTTTATTTATTATTGTTTTTATGTATTAATTATTTACAAATTATTATTATTTTATTTTTGCTGTAACACTGCTTTAAAAAATATATTATTATTATTGTTTTGATGCATTATTATTTTATTTATTATTTAGCTATTTTTTATTTTATATATATTATTTTATTTATTTTATTTTTGCTGTAGCACTGCTTTTTTATTTATCATTTATTATTATTATTCTTGTTTTGATGCATTATTATTTTATTTATTATTTAGCTATTTTTATTTTATATATATTATTTTATTTATTTTATTTTTGCTGTAGCACTGCTTTTTTATTTATCATTTATTATTATTCTTGTTTTGATGCATTATTATTTTATTTATTATTTATATTTTTTATGTATTATTTTACTGATTATTTACCAATTATTATTATTGTTTTATTTTATTTTTGCTGTAACACTGCTTTTTGATTTATTATTATTATTTTATTTGTTATTTATCTTTTTTAAATGTATTCATTTAATTTTTGCTGCAGCACTGCTTTCCGTGATTTTTTTATTTTATTTTTTTCTGTAGCACTGCCTTTTTATTTATTATTATTGTTTTTATGCATTATTATTTTATTTATCTTTTTTATGTATTCTTATTTTATTATTTATTTACCAATTTTTAAATTTTATTTTATTTTTGCTTTAGCACTGCCTTTAAAAAAATATATATATATTATTCCTGTTTTGCTGCATTATTAGTTTATTTATTATTTATCTTTTTTTTAATGTATTATTATTTTATTATTTATTTACCAATTATAATTTTTAAATTTTTTAAATTTATTTTATTTTTGCTCTAGCACTGCCTTTAAAAAAAAAAATATATATATATATATTATTCCTGTTTTGCTGCATTATTAGTTTATTTATTATCTTTTTTTTAATGTATTATTATTTTATTATTTATTTACCAATTATAATTTTTTTATTTTTAAAATTTATTTTATTTTTGCTGTAGCACAGTTTTTTTTAAATTGATTATATATTATTATTCCTGTTTTGATGCACTATTATTTGATTTATTATTCATCTTTTTTCATGTATTATTATTTTATAAATTATTTACAAATTTTTTTATTTTTATTTTATTTTTGCTGTAGCACTGCTTTTCAAAAATTATTATTTATGTATTATTCTTATTGTTTTTATGTATTATTATTTTATGTATTATTATTATTTTTTTTTTATTAATTAAATTTGTTGCTGCAGCACTGCTTTTTGTGATCATCTCGCCACTACTTTTTGTCCAATCCAAACTTAAAACCACGAGAAAACAAACTCTCGAGATAATTTTTTAGCCTTTGTGCTCGACCCCGTGACGCTTTTGTCTCGTCGTTGACCTCGTCCTCGTCCCGTTTCAGTTTCAGACCTCGATCGTCGGTCCTGGTCTTCAGCTCCACGTCTTCCACTTTCCCAAACTTCCCGAATCGATCCCTCAGGTCTTTGTCGGTGACCGAGTGACCGAGTCCGCCCACGTACAGACGCTTCATCTCCATCGGTCGCTACGGCAACGGGAAAACACCAACACAAACACAAACGAAACGCACGAGAAGAACTTCAACACAACAGGAACGAAGACAGCAGAGAAATAAAACACACGAGCCACAAACGGAACATACACGAGGTTTAAAGCCGCACTGTGGAACTTCTCTGGTGCTTTTCCACATGGAGATGTTACTGGTTTGTCTGGAATGTTCCACAATACGGCTTTAAACATTTCTATCTCCATTAAGACTAAACCAAGTGCCAGGTCAGATCTGTGGAGAGGCGACCCCACACTCACACTCACATTTCTCGGGATTTTCTAGGGATTTTTGAGGTTTAGTCCTGGTCTATTTCAGGACTAAATCAGGTCTAAACCAGGACTAAACCAGGTCTAAACCAGGACTAAACCAGGACTAAACCAGGACTAAACCAGGACTAAATCAGGACTATATCAGGTCTAAACCAGGACTAAACCAGGTCTAAACCAGGACTAAACCAGGACTAAATCAGGTCTATTTCAGGTCTAAACCAGGACTAAACCAGGTCTAAACCAGGTCTAAACCAGGTCTAAACCAGGACTAAACCAGGACTAAATCAGGTCTATTTCAGGTCTAAACCAGGACTAAACCAGGTCTAAATCAGGACTAAACCAGGACTAAACAGGACTACACCAGGTCTAAACCAGGACTAAACCAGGACTAAACCAGGTCTAAACCAGGACTAAACCAGGACTAAACCAGGACTAAACAAGGTCTAAACCAGGACTAAACCAGGACTATAACAGGTCTAAACCAGGTCTAAACCAGGACTATATCAGGACTAAACCAGGACTAAACCAGGACTAAACCAGGTCTAAACCAAGTCTAAACCAGGACTAAACCAGGACTATATCAGGTCTAAACCAGGTCTAAACCAGGACTAAACCAGGTCTAAACCAGGACTAAACAGGTCTAAACCAGGACTAAACCAGGACTATATCAGGTCTAAACCAGGACTAAACCAGGACTCAACCAGGTCTAACCGTGTCTAACTTAAACTTATGATTTACTGCATCACGTGACAGTCCTCTACGATCGTTCCGGAGACTCACTACGACGTAAACTCGCGCATTAAACATAAATTACCTTAAAACGAGCTCCGGGAAAATCGAAATCGTTTAAAAATGTGCGTCCATCGCGTCTGTTTACCTCACGTGTGGCGTCGGTGCTCACTTCAATCCGTCCCCGACTTCCGCTTCACGTTCGACCACGATCTCGGGTTCCGCTACCGCAAATTTCCACATTATTTGCCCAAGATTAATGAACGACAACACAGTTTCATTATTATACACTTTGTCCGAAGTCTGCTGTTTATTTATATCATAAAATCTAAAAAAATATAAATAAATAAAAAATACAGTTTTTTTTTTTTTCAACATTTAACGGCGCGTGTCTCGGGTAACGCTACCAAAAATGTACATAATTGACACGAGATTAATTAACTACAAGACAATTTTATTTATTGTACACTTTGTCCGAAGCCTAGCGTTTATTTGTAATCATTAAAAAAAAAATAATAATAAAATAAATAAATTCGAGTTTTTTTTTTTTTTTTTTTTTTTTCAACATCCGGGAGATTCAATTTTACTTGTTAACGGTGTATAAACAGTAGCTACCATCGTTAATTTGCCAGTTGTACGGTTTAAATCTGGTATTGTGCGTGTTAGACAATTATTATTTTCATTATTACGAATTATTTCAGGTTTTATTGACAAAGAAAAGGGTAAATATGAAGAAAAATCCGCTGTCCCTGCGTTGGTCTCCCCCTGTAAACCGGAGTGGTTCAGTCTGTCCCGGTGGCGCCACAGACTGAACTGTTTTGGGGCGAAGCGAACGTTAAAAAAAAGTTTAATTTCAGCGGATTTTTATCTCCAAATAACAACAATTTACCACTTTTACAGTTTTAACGTCACGCCTGATCCTTTTCTGACATGGTAAGTGCACTGTCCACGCGGTATTTATGAGTGAAATGACGTTTTTGTTCGTAATTACCGAAGAGCTGTCAATGAAAATAATGATGAAAACTCCGATGTTACAGCAGATTTTATTCAGACATTATGACTCGAGTGACCCGACGTCTCTAATGACCCGGGACACTCCACGTTTTGAGCCTGTGTCCTCCCTGTCCCAGCAGATTTATACAGAAACACTGATTTGTCCCAATTTTATACAAGAAATGTCCCAGTGTCTCTATTTTGGATCAAACTGATCTAAACCAGGACTAAACCAGGTCTAAAACAGATCTAAACCAGGACTAAACCAGGTCTAAACCAGGTCTAAACCAGGACTAAAACAGATCTAAACCAGGTCTAAACCAGGTCTAAACCAGGCCTAAACCAGGTCTAAACCAGGTCTAAAACAGGATTAAACCAGGTCTAAACCAGGAATAAAACAGGATTAAACCAGGTCTAAAACAGGATTTGTGTTGATTGTAAAGGTTTGTGTAGTTTGTAAAGGTTTGTGTAGTTTGTGTAGTTTGTAAAGGTTTGTGTAGTTTGTAAAAGTTTGTGTTGTTTGTAAAGGTTTGTGTAGTTTGTTTTGTTTGTAAAGGTGTGTGTTGTTTGTGTAGTTTGTGTTGTTTGTAAAAGTTTGTGTTGATTGTAAAGGTTTGTGTTTGTAAAAGTTTTGTGTAGTTTGTAAAAGTTTGTGTAGTTTGTAAAAGTTTGTGTAGTTTGTGTAGTTTGTAAAAGTTTGTGTTGTTTGTAAAAGTTTGTGTTGTTTGTTAGTTTGTAAAAGTTTGTGTTTGTAAAGTTTGTGTTGTTTGTAAAAGTTTGTGTTGTTTGTAAAAGTTTGTGTTGTTTGTGTAGTTTGTAAAAGTTTGTGTTGTTTGTAAAGGTTTGTGTTGTTTGTTGTGTAGTTTGTAAAAGTTTGTGTTGTTTGTAAAAGTTTTTGTTTGTAAAAGTTTGTGTTGTTTGTAAAAGTTTGTGTTGTTTGTGTAGTTTGTAAAAGTTTGTGTTGTTTGTAAAGGTTTGTGTTGTTTGTGTAGTTTGTAAAATTTTGTGTTGTTGTGCAGATGCAGGAGGCTGAGTTGGAGGCGGAGCTGCAGAGGCTCCAGGAGGAGGTCACAGATTTAAAGACACAACTCCAGGAGCAGCAGCGTGAGATGAGCTTCGACTTCACAGGAAACATGCTGCTCGCTCTGTGAGTCTGACCACCTCACCCTGTCACACTCCAACATCACTCTGTCACACCCCAACATCACCCTGTCACACCCCAACATCACCCTGTCACACCCCAACATCACCCTGTCACACCCCAACATCACCCTGTCACACTCCAACATCACCCTGTCACACTCCAACATCACCCTGTCACACTCCAACATCACCCTGTCACACCCCAACATCACTCACATGTCACACCCCACACATCACCCTGTCACACTCCAACATCACCCTGTCACACTCACCAACATCACTCACACCTGTCACACTCCAACATCACCCTGTCACACCCAACATCACCCTGTCACACTCCAACATCACTCTGTCACACTCCAACATCACCCTGTCACACTCCAACATCACTCTGTCACACCCCAACATCACCCTGTCACACTCCAACATCACTCTGTCACACCCAACATCACCCTGTCACACCCAACATCACTCTGTCACACCCCAACATCACCCTGTCACACCCCAACATCACCCTGTCACACTCCAACATCACCCTGTCACACTCCAACATCACCCTGTCACACCCCAACATCACTCTGTCACACTCCAACATCACCCTGTCACACCCCAACATCACCCTGTCACATCTGAGCTAAACCAGGTCTAAACCAGGTCTAAACCAGGTCTAAACCAGGTCTAAACCAGGTCTAAACCAGGTCTCGGGACGGGTCAGTCAGACCCAAAAATTTCTTTTCTCACCTGGCGAGAATTTATTTGAAAATACATTTTTAAGTCTGATTGATCCGCCCCAAGAGAGCGGGAAAAAAAGTCTTTGAGTCAATGTGAGTCGAGGAGATCGTCAGGGTTAACGCCGTTTTATTTACACCCACATCACAAACTCACAGTCAAACAGTTTAGAGTTTATAGGAAAATGTGTTCACCCTGTGCTGAAGAGTAAACGTGGTGTTTGTTCAAAGGTTTTCTGACCCTATAGACCACAGGTGTCAAACATATGGCCCGGGGGCCAGATCCGGCCCTCCAAGACCTTTAATCTGGCCCTCGGCTGATTTTCTACTAAAATATTTTAATTATATTTTCTATTAAAATGGTGTTAATTTTCTGTGGTGTTTATCACAGCAGCGTCTCCAGCGTCTCTGTACGTGGCCCCTCCCACCAGAGCAGCACAAATGAAGACTTGTCTCTTTCCAAACGCTCTTAAAGGACGATCGTTTTGACTGTTGACCGTGACACCCTCATCAGAAAAATGTCCAACATGAGAAAAGTGGAGCCGAGTGCAGGATTTTTACAACAAAAATTTGGACTTATTCCTATGTTTACAGACAAGTTCATGTTAAAACATTTGTGTTGAAATTGAATTTTTATTAAAGTTTCAGGTTGTTCATAATATTATAATATTATAATAAGAAAGAGTTCATCAATTAAAAAAGATTTCTGTAATAGATTTGTGTTTCTCTGCACAAATATTTGAACTTATTGTTATTTTTGGGGTTTATATGACATGAGTTTTCTGATCCAGACACTTTGGATCAAAGTCGGTTGGACACGACCCCCGGAACAAAATGAGTTTGACACCTCTGCTATAGAGCGATAGATTTATTTATTTAGTTTACTTTTTAACTCTGTATCGGCTAGGGATGGCATGATTAATCGATTAATCGATAATTGATCATTAAAAATTTCATTTAAATCGATAAACTGAATGTATGTTTGTGTGTCGTGACCAAACAGGTGTGTACATGTGTCTCTGCATCAGAAGGAGCGAGACACAAACAGTGGGTCAGTCTGTAACGAACCGAAGCACAAATGTGGATTTAACCAGGATTTGTAGAAGAAATTCCACACTTTCCGTTGCGTTGGGACAAGTGTGAGTCCATGTGCACAGTGGATAAAGCAGCACATATGTTTCTGTGTCCAGTGGGAAAAAGTTTTTCCAGGTGAGAGTCGCTCAATGTGGATGACGAGGCCCCGCCCCCCTCCCCCCGTACGCTGTCCTGGTTTTGACAAACACAAATCTGGTCACACTGACCTGTATTCACCTGAGTCATGTCTTTTAATCCAACACAAGTTGAACCACATCAGCGACACAAGAGCTGGAGTTTTATCTTCACTTAGTTTATGTAAATTAGTGATGTGGTTTTAAGTTTTGTTTCTGTGAGATTTGAACAAAACTGAATTAAACACATTATAATGTCAAACAGCTGATGTGGATCTAGAGTCGTTATGTTTATATGTCGTAAAGTTGAATTTATTTATGCAGATTAGTGCAGATAGTAATAATAATGATGATCATTTTAATATAAAAACGTTCATGATTAATCGATAATCGATCGTTAATTCTTCCGACGATCGATTAAGAACATTTCATTGAACGCCCGTCTCTAGTATCGGCTCATATTTCTCTAGTGAACTCTACTGTAATAGTTTGAACGGCGAGGTGAAAAGTGACCGTTTGTCGTTTGTCGTTGTCGTTGTCGTTGTCGTCTTGGGTCGGCGCCTCAGTGGAGCGGTGTGCGGGCAGAGCGCAGTTCCCTCGCAGCGTCAGGAGGTGGCGTCGCGACTGCGGGAGGAGCTGGAGGAGCTGCAGGACGACGTGGAGAGACAGAACCACGTGAACGGACTCACAGTCTTCAGCTGCAAGAGGAGGAGAGGAGAGAGGGAGGACGAAAGAGGTGAGTGTGAAAGAGAAGAAGAGAGAGAGAGAGAGAGACGACGAGGACGGAGGCAAAAGAGGTGAGTGTGAAAGAGAGAGAGAGAGAGAGAGAGAGAGATAGAAAAGGAGAGAGAAAAGAGGGAGGATGCGGAGGATGGAGATGAAAGAGGTGAGTGTGAAGGGGAGAGAGAGAGAAAAGAGGAGAGAGAGAGAGAGAAGGAGAGAAGAGGAGGAAGAGAGAGAAGATGGAGAGAAGAGGAGGAGAGAGGAGGAGGAGAGAGAAGAGGAGGAGACAGAGAGAAAGAAGAGTAGAAAAAAGAGGAGGAGAGAGAGAAGAAGAGAGAGAGAAGAGGAGGGGAGAGAGAGAGAAGGAGAGAAGAGGAGGAAGAGAGAGAAGATGGAGAGAAGAGGAAGGAGAGGAGGAGGAGAGAAGAGGAGGAGAGAGAAAGAGAGAAAAAAGAGGAGAAGAGAGAGAAGAAAGAGGAGGAGAGAGAGAGAGAGAGAGAAGAGAGAGAGAGAGAGAGAGAGGAGAGAGAGAGAAGAGGAGAGAAGAGAGGGAGGACGACGAGGACGGAGGCAAAAGAGGTGAGTGTGAAAGAGAGAGAAGAAGAGAGAGAAGAGGAGAGAGAGAGAGAGATAGAAAAGGAGAGAGAAAAGGAAAAAGTAGAGGCAGAGAGAAGAGGAGGAGAGAGGGAGAGAGAAGATGGAGAGAAGAGGAGAGAGAAAAGGAGAAAGAAGAGGAAGAGAGAGGAGGAGAGAGGGAGGATGCGGAGGATGGAGATGAAGGAGGTGAGTGTGAAGGGGAGAGAGAGAGAAAGAGGAGGGGAGAGAGAGAGAGAAGATGGAGAGAAGAGGAGGAAGAGAGACAAGATGGAGAGAAGAGGAGGGAGAGGAGGAGAAGGAGAGATGGAAGAGGAGGAGACAGAGGAGAAAGAAGAGTAGAAAGAAGAGAAGGAGAGAGAGAAGAGGAGGAGAGAGAGAAGAGAGGAGAAAAGAGGAGGAGGTGACAGGAGGAGAGGGAAGGGAGGAGAGAAGAGATGGAGACTGGAGACGAAAGAGGTGAGTGTGTGAGAGAGAGAGGAAGAGAGAAAGAGAGAGAGAGAAGGGGGAGAAGAGAAAGAAAGAGGTAAGTATGTACTGAGAGAGGAGGAAAGAGAAAGAGGAGAGAGAAGAGAGGGAGGACGCTGAGGATGGAGATGAAAGAGGTGAGTGTGAGAGAGAGAAGAGGAGGAGAGAGAGAGAAAAGGAGGAGGAGAGAGAGAGAGGAGCAAGAGGACACGGAGGATTGAGCTGAAAGAAGTAAGTGTGTAGAGAGTGAGAAAGAAGAGAGAAGAGAGAGAGAGAAAAGGAGAAAGAAGAGGAAGAGAGAGAGGAGGAGAGAAGAGAGGGAGGACGCCGAGGACGGAGACGAAAGAGGTGAGTGAGAAAGAGAGAGAGAGAGAGGGGGGGGGTGGAGGTGAAAGAGGTAAGTGTGTGAGACAGAAAGAGAGAGAGAGGAGAAGGGAAGAGAGGAGAGGAGAGGAGGAGGTGACAGGAGGAGAGAGGGAAGGGAGGAGAGAAAAGAGACGACATGGAGGATGGAGACGAAAGAGGTGAGTGTGAAAGAGAGAGAAGAGGAGAGAGAGAAAGAAAGAAAGAGGTAAGTGTGTGCTGAGAGAGAGGAGAAAAGAGAAAGAGAGGAGAGAGAAGAGAGAGAGGACACGGAGGAAGGAGGTGAGAGAGGTGAGTGTGAGAGAGAGAAGAGAAGAGGAAGAGAGAGAAAGAGGAGAGAGAGAGAGAGAGAGGGAGAGGAGAAGGAGGAGAGAGAGAGGAGAGAGGAGAGAGAGGAGAGAGAGAGGAGAGGAGGAGAGAGAAAGAGAGAGAGAGGAGAAGGAGGAGAGAGAGAGAGAGAGAGAGAGAGAGAGAGAGAAGGAGAGAAGAGAGAGAGGAGAGAGGAGAGGAGAGAGAGAGAGAGAGAGAGAGAGAGAGAGAGAGAGAGAGAGAGAGAGGAGAGAAGAGAGAGAGAGAGAGAGAAGAGGAGAGAGAGAGAGAGAGAAGAAGAGAGAGAGAGAGAGGAGAGAGAGAGGAGAGAGAAGAGAGAGAGAGAGAGGAGGAGAGAGAGAGAGGAGAGAGAGAGAGAAGAGAGAGAGAGAGGAGGAGGAGGAGAGAGAAGAAGGAGAGAGAAGAGGAGGAGGAGAGAGAGAAGAGAGAGGAGAGAAGAGGAGGAGGAGAGAGAGAGAGAGAGAAGAGAGGAGAGAGAGGAGAGAGAGAAGAGAGAGAAGAGGAGGAGGAGAGAGAAAAAGAAGAGAGAAGAGGAGGAGAGAGAGAAGAAGGAGAGAAGAGGAGGAGGAGGAGAGAGAGAGAGAGAGAGAGGAAGAGAGAAGAGAGAGGAGAGAAGAGGAGAGGAGAGAGAGAGGAGACAGAGAGATGAGAGGAGAAGAAGAAGAGAGAAGAGGAGGAGGAGGGGAGAGATTGAAGAGGAGATGGAAGAGAAAGAAGAGAAGAAAGAAGGTAGAGGGACAAGAAGAAAAAGGAGGAGAGCGAGAGACAAACAAACGGAGGAGAAAGAGAGAGGGATAGAGAGATGAGGAGAGGAGGAGAGGATTTGGAGTCGGTGCCCAGAGAGAAACAATAATCATAAATCAATCATAAAAATCATTTCAGTTTGTTTTTTCTTGTTTTGTTTCGTGTTACAGTCGAATAAAGTAATAATAAAAATAAAAACAGAGGCGCAGAAGTTTAAAAGAAAGAAAGAAAGAAACAGACGTAAACGTGTAAAAGTGAGGAGGGGAAAGAGAGTGTATATAGTGTGTGTTGATGTTGTTGTGTTGTGTGTGTTGTTGTGTGTTGTGTGTTGTGTTGATGTTGTTGTGTTGTGTGTTGTGTGTGTTGTGTTGATGTTGTTGTGTTGTGTGTGTGTGTGTGTGTGTGTGTGTGTGTGTGTTGTGTTGTGTGATGTTGTTGTGTTGTGTGTGTTGTGTTGTGTTGTGTGTGTGTTTGTGTGTTGATGTTGTTGTGTTGTGTTGTGTTGTGTGTGTGTGTGTGTTGTGTGTGTGTTGTGTGTGTGTGTGTGTGTGTGTGTGTGTTGTGTGTGTGTGTTGATGTTGTTGTGTTGTGTGTGTGTGTGTGTGTGATGTTGTTGTGTTGTGTATGTGTGTGTTGATGTTGTTGTGTTGTGTGTGTTGATGTTGTTGTGTTGTGTGTGTGTTGTTGATGTTGTTGTGTTGTGTTGTGTGTGTGTGTGTGTGTGTGTGTGTGTTGTGTATGTTGTTGTGTGTGTGTGTGTTGTGTGTGTGTTGTGTGTGTGTGTGTGTGTGTGTGTGTGTGTGTGTGTGTTGTGTGTGTGTGTTGTGTGTTGATGTGTTGTGTGTGTGTGTGTGTGTTGATGTTGTTGTGTTGTGTGTGTGTGTGTGTGTGTGTGTGTGTGTGTGTGTGTGTTGTTTGTGTGTATGTTGTGTGTGTGTGTGTGTGTGTTGTTGTGTGTGTGTGTGTGTTGTGTTGTGTGTGTGTGTGTTGTGTGTGTGTGTGTGTGTGTGTGTGTTGTGTGTGTGTGTGTTGTGTGTGTGTGTGTGTGTGTGTGTGTGATGTTGTTGTGTGTGTGTGTTGATGTGTGTGTGTGTGTGTGTGTGTTGTGTTGTTGTGTGTGTGTGTGTGTTGTGTGTGTTGTGTGTGTGTGTGTGTTGTGTGTGTGTGTGTGTGTGTGTTGATGTTGTTGTGTTGATGTTGTGTGTGTTGATGTTGTTGTGTTGTGTTGTTGTGTTGATGTTGTTGTGTGTGTTTGTTGTGTTGTGTTGATGTTGTTGTGTTGTGTGTGTTGATGTTGTTGTGTTGTGTGTTGTGTGTGTGTGTGTTGTGTGTGTGTGTGTTGTTGTGTTGTTGATGTTGTGTTGTGTGTGTGTTGATGTTGTTGTGTTGTGTGTGTGTGTGTGTTGTGTGTGTGTGTGTTGTGTGTGTGTTGATGTTGTGTTGTGTTGTGTGTTGATGTTGTTGTGTGTGTGTGTTGATGTTGTTGTGTTGTGTGTGTGTTGTGTTGATGTTGTTGTGTTGATGTTGTTGTGTTGTGTGTGTGTGTGTGTGTGTTTGTGTTGTGTTGTGTGTTCTATGTTGTTGTGTGTGTGTGTTTGTGTTGATGTTGTTGTGTGTTGATGTTGTGTGTGTTGTGTGTGTTGTGTTGTTGTTGTGTGTGTGTGTGTGTGTGTTGTGTGTGTGTTGTGTGTGTTGTTGTTGTGTTGTGTGTGTGTGTGTGTGTGTGTTGTGTGTGTTGATGTTGTTGTGTTGTGTGTTGTGTTGTGTGTTGATGTTGTTGTGTTGTGTGTGTGTTGTGTTGTTATGTTGTGTGTTGTGTGTTGTGTGTGTTGTGTGTGTTGTTGTGTGTGTGTGTTGATGTTGTTGTGTTGATGTTGTTGTGTGTGTGTGTGTTGTGTGTGTGTGTTGTTGTTGTGTTGATGTTGTGTGTTGTTGATGTTGTTGTGTTGTTGTGTTTGTTGTTGTGTTGTGTGTGTGTGTTGTGTGTTGTGTGTGTGATGTTGTGTGTGTTGATGATGTTGTTCATGTTGTGTGTGTATGTTGTTTGTGTGTGTGTGTGTGTTGATGTTGTTGTGTGTGTGTGTGTGTGTGTTGTGTTGATGTTGTTGTGTGTGTGTGTTGTGTGTGTTTGTGTTGTTGATGTTGTTGTGTTGTTGTGTGTTGATGTTGTTGTGTTGTGTGTGTGATGTTGTTGTGTGTTGTGTTGATGTTGTGTTGTGTGTGTGTGTGTGTGTGTGTGTGTTGTGTGTTGTGTGTGTGTGTGTGTTGTGTTGATGTTGTTGTGTTGTTGTGTTGTGTGTGTGTTGTGTGTTGTGTGTGTGTGTGTGTTGTGTGTGTGTGTGTTGTGTTGTGTTGTGTTTGTTGTTGTTGATGTTGTTGTGTGTGTGTGTTGTGTTGATGTTGTGTGTGTTGATGTTGTTGTGTTGTGTTGATGTTGTTGTGTTGTTGTGTGTGTTGTTGTGTGTGTGTTGTGTTGTGTTGTTGATGTTGTGTTGTTGTGTTGTGTGTGTGTGTGTGTTGATGTTGTTGTGTGTGTGTGTGTTGATGTTGTTGTGTTGATGTTGTTGTGTGTGTGTGTGTTGTTGTTGTGTGTTGTGTGTTGTTGTGTTGTGTGTGTGTTGTGTTGTGTTGATGTTGTTGTGTTGTGTGTGTGTGTGTGTTGATGTTGTTGTGTGATGTTGTTGTGTTGTGTGTGTGGATGTTGTTGTGTTGTGTGTGTTGTGTGTGTGTGTCCAGCAGGGGGCAGCAGGTCTCAGTGGTTCTGTGTGTCTGGACTCTGCTCCGAACTGAACTTCCAACTCCAGTTCAAACTGTCAGAAGTCCAGGTGAGTCTGGACTAAACCAGGACTAAAACTAAACCAGGTCTAAACCAGGACTAAACCAGGTCTTAACCAGGACTAAACCAGGTCTAAACCAGGTCTAAACCAGGACAGGTCTAAACCAGGACTAAACCAGGACTAAACCAGGACTAAACCAGGACTAAAACCAGGTCTAAACCAGGTCTAAACCAGGTAAACTAAACCAGGTCTAAACCAGGACTAAACCAGGTCTACTAAAGGACTAAACCAGACTAAACCAGACTAAACCAGGTCTAAACCAGGTCTAAACCTAAACAGGACTAAACCAGGACTAAACCAGGACTAAACCAGTCTAACCAGGACTAAACAGGACAAACCAGGACTAAACCAGGAAGGACTAAACCAGGACTCTAAACCAGGTCTAAACCAGGACTAAACCACCAGGTAAACCAGACTAAACCAGGTAAAACCTAAACCAGGACTAAACCAGGTCCAGGACTAAACCAGGACTAAACCAGGACTAAACCAGGACTAAACCAGGTCTAAACCAGGACTAAACCCAGGAAAAGTCTAAACCAGGACTAAACCAGGACTAAACCAGGTCCTAAACCAGGACTAAACCAGGTCTAAACCAGGACTAAACCAGGTCTAAACCAGGACTAAACCAGGTCTAAACCAGGACTAAACAGGACTAAACCAGGACTATAACCAGGACTAAACCAGGTCTAAACCAGGACTAAACCAGGACTAAACCAGGACTAAACCAGGACTAAACCAGGTCTAAACCAGGTCTAAACCAGGACTAAAACCAGGTCTAAACCAGGACTAAACCAGGACTAAACCAGGTCTAAACCAGGAAACAGGTCTAAACCAGGACTAAACCAGGTCTAAACAGGTCTAAACCAGGTCTAAACCAGCTAAACCAGGACTAAACCAGACTAAACCAGGTCTAAACCAGGTCTAAACCAGGAAAACCAGGACTAAACCAGGACTAAACCAGGACTAAACCAGGTCTAAACCAGGACTAAACCAGGATCTAAACCAGGTCTAAACCAGGACTAACCAGGACTAAACCAGGACTAAACCAGGTCTAAACCAGGTCTAAACCAGGTCTAAACAGGACTAAACCAGGACTAAACCAGGTCTAAACCAGGTCTAACTAAACCAGGACTAAACCAGGACTAAACTAAACCAGGACTAAACCAGGTAAACAGGCTAAACCAGGTAAACCAGGTAAACCAAAACTAAACAGGACTAAACCAGGTCTAAACCAGGTCTAAACCAGGTCACTAAACCAGGACTAAACCAGGTCTAAACCAGGACTAAAAAACCAGGACTAAACCAGGTCTAAACCAGGACTAAACCAGGACTAAACCAGGTCTAAACCAGGTCTAAACCAGGTCTAAAACCAGGTCTAAACCAGGACTAAACCAGGTCTAAACCAGGTCTAAACCAGGACTAAACCAGGACTAAACCAGGTCTAAACCAGGACTAAACCAGGTCTAAAACAGGTCTAAACCCTAAACCAGGACTAAACCAGGTCCAGGACTAAACCAAACCAGGACTAAACCAGGTAAACCAGGTCTAAACCAGGACTAAACCAGGACTAAACCAGGTCTAAACCAGGTCTAAACCAGGTCTAAACCAGGGACTAAACCAGGACTAAACCAGGTCCTAAACCAGGTCTAAACCAGGACTAAACCAGGACTAAACCAGGACTAAACCAGGTAAACTAAACCAGGTCTAAACCAGGTCTAAACCAGGACTAAACCAGGTCTACCCATAAACCAGGACTAAAACCAGGTCTAAACCAGGTCTAAACCAGGACTAAACCAGGTCTAAACCAGGACTAAACCAGGTCTAAACCAGGACTAAACCAGGTCTAAACCAGGTCTAAACCAGGGTCTAAACCAGGTTTAAACCAGGACTAAAC